TCCTTAGAGGCAGTCAATAAAGACTGCTGGCTACATAGCAAAGCCCTATTTATAATACAGAAAATTAGAAGTATTTAAAGTAGATATTAGTTCAGTGAAAATTGATTGTACTTAACTCATAGTTAGCAATTCATTTGGATGTTCACCCTGGCTGATTTTTACCGTGTTAATTTTATGATTTGTAGAATGGGGCAACCTTACTAATATTTACTACAGATCCTCTAATAATTGAAACCATTGACTACCCTACCAGAAAGCATGACTTTTGAAGCCTAATTTTGGGGCAGGAGTGTGAGGTTTATATAGTTTCTTCTACCATTTGTCTTCTCAAGACTGTTCTCTGCAAACACAAGTCATTTATACATGTATATAGGTAGGGAGATTCTAAGTCTATTTAGACAATTCTTTGTTTATTGTTTTGAAAATGCTTAATGTTAAAGTGTAATGGTTTTCTAAGTTTAGGTTTTTAGCTACACACAGATATTTATGGTGATTTTGACACTTCTTATTAGCTATAAATAATCTCTTAAATGCTATAGAAATAATATCACCATGTTTTCTTATATCTACGTGAAAATAGTGCCAGTAGCTCTATATCTTTTGACTTACTTTTTCAGTTGCAGCAATGAATATCTGATGATTCCTGCTTTCACCTTTACCCTTCTCCCATGGGTTATATTTGTAAAATGATTAATCCATGTTAATAGTACCTTTAAGGTTATGAAACTACAAAATCAGTTGATTTATAATGGGATTGAACCTGGAACCTTTGTCCAGATTAAAACTCTAGGCAACTAAGTTTAAAATAATAAACGCGCTAAAATTTTTATTTAAGGTTCATTGTTGTAAAGCAGAATTTATAACAATAAGTTGGAGGAAGATTTATGATATTCTTTTTTCCAGTGGGATTTGCTTATGAAATAAAAGGACAGGGAGGCAAAATATTATGTATTTTCCTGAGGCAACAATATTAGAGGTTCCAGTGTACAGTTAATTCATTAGATCTTTTTGGATGAACTTATTGTTAGTTGATCTTAACTACCAAGTTAGAGTTAAGACATCATGCCTTTTTCTCCACGAAATTTGCCTTATTTTTTATGCTTAGATTATTTAGCTTAGTGAGGCAGTTTTTTAAATCTAAATAGAGACTTTGGGTTAGAAGCATGAGCTGACAAACTGGATTTTAAACATGAGATTTGCTGTCTGAAAGATTGATGATTTTCTTCATGTTTGTTTTTCACTTCAAAATGTTTGCCTTTCTTCCCAACCCAGTTAATACACTGTTAAATGTGAAATTAAGTGAGACAGAAAATGGCAAGCACGTCTCTATACTGGATCTACCTGGTGACATTCTTATCGTTCCTCAAGCCACCCTTGGGGGGAGAGTAAAAGGAAGAAACATGCAATATCACTCTAACTCTGGAAAAGAAGAAGGATTAGAACTTTATTCCCAATTTGTGAATCTATGTGAAAAAGAATTAGCTGCTAACAGCAAGTGTGCCGAAGCTGGGGTTGTAGTGGAACATGGCACTTTCGGGAACAGACAGGTGTTAAAGCTGGATACCAATGGACCATACACACACCTAATTGAGTTTTGAAAATTAAAAATTAGTTTTTACAGCTGTTTTCTGGTATAAAATGATCTGAACTATAATTAGATTTCCTGCTCTTCATCTTGAATACACTAACCTGTAGCATTTTTAGCCTAGAAAATCCTGGGTCCCCTACATAACTTTGTAATAGCTAATTGAATGACTTTACCAAGTCACATAAACTCTGAATCTCAGTCACCTTTTGTCCTGCTTTCTCCTACCCTTCCACTCAAAAATTTGGAAAACGCATCTGTTCACTTCATAGTCATTAAAGAAATGTTCTTAGCTATATTTAAAAGTTTACATACATTTTAAGTATTTTGCAATGAAGAAACTTGTGCAGCCAAGAAAAACACATTTCTTGTACTCTCAAATTTATGTAGTAATAAAAATAACTATTTGTATTAAAATTATGTAAAATCCAGCACAAACCAATTATGACTTTGTCTATTTGCTTTACTATTTCAGTTTTCCATATTTTGAGTGAAAGAATGTGATTTATTATTCCTTTTAAAAATTTCTATAAAAAT